GAGAAATCACAATGTGCAGGGTGGTATTTTTAACAGTTCCCTAGGTGATTCTACATGAAGGTAGGATTGACAAACAGTCTACCCAACACCCACAGTTCTCCAGGTATCACCAGACTCTCTGCCCTCCAGAGAGCTTCTCCCTTACATTTTTACTTCTTGGACCTCTTGCATTCTCAAAAGCTTTCTCCTTTCTGAAGCTCTTACTAATTCTTTCCAACCAAGAGGAAATAATGCTTCTTCCCAAGCTTTGTATGACACCCACAGTCCTGGTCACATTCTGTTAAACTGTGTGTTTACCCTGTGAATCCCCTTCTGGAATGTAGCTTCCTCCAGGCAGGGGAAGAGACTTCTCTCTCTTAGGTACCACCTGCAGCCTGCACCATGCCTAGACAGAGGCCTCTATGAGGCAGGCCAGTGCACGGTGACAATATAACTAGGATTACTGTACAAGTTACCACATGAGCTGGATACTTTTTAGAGTAATGAATAGTGCTAACGATAATTGTGCCAAGACAACAGGTGTAAAGTGGGGACTGTCCCAGACAAACCGGAAGTAAGATCACCTAAGTAGCAGTGGCCAACACTGGCAGGGCTTATTCTGTCACTCTGTACTCTGTGTGCTTTCTTTAGTCTTCACAGTGATCCTACATGAGAACAACTGTTATCTGCACCAAATATCTGCCACAGTGCCACAGTCTAAAGGGACTTAGAAGGTGACACTACTTAGGAAGTGGCTGAGAAACCTGGCACCTGAACTCCTGACTCCAGAGCTCAGGTTTTAGACCCTTAGTCCCTGTTGTTGCCTGATGGAAGGACTCAGGGCTGAGAGTAGGACAGGGTAAGGTACTGTCCCAGCTCAACTCAAAATAACTTTAGTTACCTCTCTGTCTTAAGTATCTCTGTCTACAGAGCAATAACAGTTTCTATTTTCAGGAACGCCAGGAGGTTAAATGAGCTAAAGGGTGAGAAGACTGAGCAAATGAGAAGACTTGTGAACTTGTGAAATCCTCCGTTGTGGATTAAGACATGCAGGTTTACTCTGGTCTACTCGACAGCTGTGGCACAAAGGAAAAAGTATAAAATACTGTAACGGAGTGCAGGGTGAGGCCGCAGCAAGCCCCATGACCTCATGGCTACAACTTTGCCATCTTGCACATGATGTGGGTTCAGGCTGAGGCTCTGGGATTTAAATAGCTATTGCTCCAAAGATGATATGCAAGTGGACAATGAGCACGTGAGAAAACACTTGGACATCATATTCTTAGGAAAATGCCAATCAAAACCACAGTGAAATGTCATTGAGTACTCAGAGGATGGCTAAAGTGAAAAGAGCAGACAGTCACAGTACGGTGGGAAGAACATCTGGTAGAGAAACTGGAACCCTTTGTAGTTCGCTACAGGTTAAACACAGAGTTACCGTATGACCTTGCAATCTCTCTCCTAGGAATAATACTCAGAGATTCAAAAGCATGTATCCACACAAAACTTGGTACACACGTTTGTAGCAGCATTATCCATAATGGAAAAAAATGGAAACAATCTAAATGTCCATCAACTGAGGTGGAATAATGCCACACAGTGGAACAATGTTCAGTGGAAAGAGAAAACATAAATTACTGATACATGCTGTCAATTAAAAGGAATCAGACATAGAAGTCCATGCACTGTAAGACTCCACTGATACAAACTGCCGGAAGAGACAGATCTATAGAGAGGGAAAGAGATTACTGGGGGCCTTGCACTGGAAGGAATGGGTGGGGGTGGAGATTGTCAGTAACAGGGAATGATTTTGGAGTCATAAAAATATTCTGAAATTACTGTAAGAAAGTAATAGTGGTGTGACTGTACTAAAGCCTGTGAATTATATACTTTAAAAGGGGAAGTGTTATAGTATGTGATTCACCTCTCAATAAACCATTTCTAAAAATTTCCTGGACTCTGCTGTTGACTTTTCCATCGGTGTTATCTTGTGTAAAGCAGTGCTCATTTACAGAGCCTTGGGAACCCAGGCAGCAGAAATGGCACTGTGTGACAATCTCTGCACAGTGACTGATATTGCAAGTATAATAATAAGCAACAACCATGTTGATGGTTTCCTTAAACATGCCGGCTTCCTCTTGTCCCTCTTGAAACATGGGGTGCTTTTGCAATAGATTGGGATTCATGGTAGGTGAGGATGCATGAACACTGACACTGTGGCCACACCCTCACTTGCGTGGGCTTCTGGTGACATTACAGCCATATGGCTTTGATATCTGTTATTTATTTCTTACTAATATAACTGGGACCTTGCTCAAGATGTGCTCCTGAAAAATTACCCTTTTAATGGTGGAAGGTTAAATGAGAAACTGGATTATCTACTGCATAAGTGCCCTTCAGACAAATTAGCTTGGCCCTGGCTCCTAATCTAAATTGGGCTCACTACTTTTCTATAAATGGCCTAACATTTTCTTATTAATCTCTGCCCTTGTTCACCTGATCTGGCTCTGCCTCCTCTTAGAATCTCTCTCCTCAGCAGTGCCCTGCCCTGACACATCTACGACTGTCTTAGTGCTTGACTCACAGACATGTGTTTGGACAGGACTGGTTGCTGGAAGCTGTGTATTTCCACTCTCTCAGGCTACCTCACCATCCCCAGTGGAGCCGTCATGCTGCCAATGTATTTATATTTAACATCAAAAGAATTGGGTCAGGTGAGTTTGGGTACCAGGTGAAGGTGGGGCTTTACAGTGAAGCTGAATAGATGAGAAGCAATTAATCGTAGTGCCTAAGAAGACAGCCTTCAAAACACAGAGCAGGGGCAAACTCTAAGCCTGGCCTTTGGCTCCAGCCACATCCCAGACAGGTTCTACTATTCTGAGTTTGGACAATTACACAGCCTCTCAGATCCTCAATTTCACTGTTTGTCTGGAAAATTTGTCTACTGGTACCTTCCTCCAGCATTTTCTTCCAAGGCTGAACAAGTTGATACATTCCATGTGCTTGGTGATAAAGGCTGCCTGGAGATGTTACAGTTGAGTTTGAGGTAGTCCCACTAGTGAAAAGGGGTCATCAGGACTGAAACAGTGTCACACATTGCAGAGGCAGAAATGGTATTTGAGATAGAGCAAGATGACCTCAGACCAAAGTGTAGGTGGCCCCTCCCAGACTGCGTGGAAGGCAGGAAGAGGAGGCTGTGGCACCACGGGGCCTACTGCTTGGGTAGATGTTCACAGAAAGTAAATCATGATGGATGCTGTCAGCACTGGTCTCTGACATCTGCCCTCACAAAACTCTGTGCTTTATTTGTTGCCTTCATTATAGTCTCTGACTAGTCATCTCTGTGTTCTGTTTGCTGTGTGGAATACTCTCAAAGGCTTTGAAATGCTAGGCCTGAGAGGGTGCAGTGGATAAGAATGATAACTGGGAGTTGGGGACCACATGTCCAGGCTTGGCCAGCAGACACCCCTCCTCTGTGCCTGCCTTTCTCCAGCAGTGTAACTTCCGCAGGGCTGATCATAGAGGTTACAAAGCTTACCAGGAGAATGAATGCATGACTCGCATGCAATCCTTGAAGTTACTGATCACAGGGAACTAATGCAGTAAGGTAGTTACTTGGTCCTCATTCTCCAGATAAGGAACTAAGGCTCAGACAGGCTAGGTGACTTAAAGGGGAAACCTTCTTACACATGCGCAATAATGCACTGTACACTTTTATTTGCAGTCACCAAAACTGGGGCTTCTACAGACACAGATTTGTGTCTCCTTCATGTGTTGCCAGTGAGTAATAGCATTTGGCACAAGAAGAGAGAGACACTCAGTAAGGGACGAACAAATAAGTGAATGAAGTGAAAGTCATATTTTCTCCAAAAAAAGAAAAAGCACCATGTTGTGGCTTGCTATTGCCATTGTTTGTTGTTGTTTGGTTTGGGGGGCCCTTTGTATTTTTATTTTAAGCATGTGCTCAGATGATTCTCAACCCCACATTCTAGAAATGCTGTGGTTTGCACAGAACATAGTGTAGGTGGAGAGAAGTAGGCGCATTGGCTCTGATGAGCAGAGCTCTAAGTTTCTGACTGCTAGGGGAAGCATAAGAAAGGAAGAATCGGGACTGGAGCTAATGATACCACTGAGGCCAATAAACAGCCATGGGGGCTCCAGGTTTTAGGAACCAGGGATATAAAGTGCAGACCTCTGGCTAGGCAGAGTGTGGTGAGGTGAGAGTGGCTTGAATTCCTGTGTCCATCCCGTTTCTGACCCTGAACTTAGAGGAGCTGCCTGAATTCTGTGACCGTCTTCATCTTTGGAAAATGAAAATGGTTTGGTTATTGTGAAGCATGGATTTAAGGCTTACAAAACATCTAGCATGAAGCACTTGCTGAGGTTGCAGTAGCTCTGTGGTCCTTACTTCCTATGGGTGTATGTGAGGTTTCACTGCAGAGCCTCCATGGAATTGGGCATAATGGGTGCCTTAGACACTGACTAGAGCACTATTAAATGCTGGAAATCCCAGAGGCTCAGTGCTGGTCGTGTTCCAGCAAGACTTTTGGACACACACTTGTTGTAGGTGGTAATCATTGGTTGAGTACCTGCTGTGTATCAAATACAAAATTAAATGCTCTACCCATATTATCTGGTTTATTTATCTTAATACTCCTCTGGGGTGGGTTTTTTTGTTGTTGTTGGTTTTTGGTTTTCGGTGGAGTTTTTTTTTTGGTACTGGGAGTCAAACTTGGGGCCTTACACTTGCCTGGTAGGTGCTGCACCACTGAGCTACATCCCCAGCCCTTTCGGATGGTTATTTTTTTCTACCTAAGTAAACTGAGCCTTGGAGAGAAGCAATTTATCTCAGGATTTAAGAGGATAGAGCCACAATTTTCATCTAGGAATATTACTATTTTTTTTCTCCTGTGACCAGTGAACTGCTTTTACTGGAATATAGATGAAACCAGAGCGAATCTTGGAGTGTTGGATTCTTACAGGTAACCTTGTATCTGAATCTACTTTTTTTGTGTTTCCAGGTCAGGATCGCAGTGAAGCCACTTTGATAAAGAGGTTCAAAGGTGAAGGGGTCCGGTACAAAGCCAAACTGATTGGGATTGATGAAGTTTCCGCAGCTCGGGGAGACAAGTTATGTCAAGATTCCATGATGAAACTCAAGGTGCTGTGCATACATTTCCTTATAAAAATATCTCTGGTTTAATGTGACAAAGGGAAAGAGGTGATTGCCACTATTATGGAAATAACCTTATCTATTTGTTGGTGAATCACTTGGTTCATAGTTGAGTCACCTTATTTACTCCTTGGGAAAAGATTCAGTGATAGAACAAATGGTAATTGAGCAGCTACTATATTGAGGTATTTTGTTAGGTGTTGTTTTATATTTTTTGAATGTTTCATCTTTAATTTAACTTTATCGAGTGACCCCTTCAAAAACAAAAATACAAAATTATTAACTTGTTTAGTCCCGTGCATTTTATGCATCCTTGTCATTGTGGGTTTTGAGTAAATTTTACATATTTTGTTATATGGTAAAAGATATTCAAGTGTAAGCTGATTTTAGTTCATTTTTATAATTTGTATAAATACACTCCAAACACTTAAAAATGAAGGAAAAGTAATATTTAAGGTAATATGTAACTAGGTTTGGGGATTTTGAGATATCACAAAGACATTCATGATGTCTGTAAATGCTGTAAAGAAGCCTTTTCACTGAAAATGTTAAATTGGAAAATTTTTAAATATAGAAAGAGCATATTATTTTATTTAAAATCCTAAAATATCTACAAAATTACTGTTTGGTCTCATATATTTGTCTCCATATATTTTAAGTGATTTAAAAATATTAGAAAAGCAATGATTTAGTAAGAAGACTGAAAATACTTTACACATTTAAATCATGTGGGATGTGTTTTGCTGACTATAAAGTTCACTTGTGTTCATTACTAATTATTTTCAAAATATAGAGAAGTATAAGGAGGAGACCAGAAACAACCCAAAATATCACAAAGAAAATCAATATCAACATTTTGTGTATAATCTGCACCTACACAAGGGTGGACCATAATGTATGGTGAATGTTTACATGAATCAGTTTATTACAGTAAAAAACACAGTGGCTTTCATCTCCCTCAAATACTCTTCCACCCTTCAAACATGCTTATCCCATCAGTCTTGCCAATTTCTGAAGCAGTTCTGGTAGTCCTATTCCAAAGTGTCTTTACTTTACTAGGTGTGATCAAAAATCTGGGGAACGCTGCAAACTGGCATCCAAAGGAAACAGTGTAAAAACACTAAGGTGTGTCTTCATGCCCCTTCCTCACTGGATCTCACCACTTCTGGCTCTTCTCCAAAGTCAAAATGACCGTGAAAGATAAACATTTTGAATCAATTCAGAATACCAATGAAACCCTGACAGTGAAACTAAAGACACTCACCAAAGCGGACTCCCAGAACCGCTTCAGAAAGTGGCAAGAAATAATGAGAGAAGTGTGTTAAAGTTGGAGGAGGGATTTTGAAAGGGGGGTTAGTTCAAACATTCACTGTGATTTTAGATCATATTTCGTGTGTAATAATTGGAATTATCTTTTATATAGTTTGATAATCATAGGTTTGTCTTTCCCAATCTAATAATTATGTGAGCATTTTTTCATATCTTTAAATAGTCCATAAAGGCACAATTTGGTAGTGAAATATTTTTGAGTATAAGAAAAAGAAAATAACACCACTCCTGGCCTAGTGCCTAGTAATAGTAAATGAGATAGAATCTGTAAAACACTCTCTGCATCATCTTTGATGCTTAATCAACCACAGCTAGTATTTTTGTTTATGCTGGGTTTTTTTTAGCAGTGTAACATGTATAGCAAATGTGAAGTTTCACTATGGTATGACTCAAATAATCAGGATTTTTAAAAAGTTTTAAAATATTCTATATACATTGCCTTCTCTTTGTTTTTAAGCTGTTATAAAGCAAATTTTATTATAATAGTTATGTATCTAGTAGAATGTATAAAAAGTATAAAAATTGTGATCCCACAGGTAATCACCTTGAAAGGGGCTAATATACCTTTCTAAAACAATTAAGCAATTAGTTTAAAGACTGTTCAATAATGAACACTCTTTTTCTTCTAAGTTCAAAAATGAATGATAAATAGATGAAGCATTTGGACCAGAAGAATTCTAAATTACAGCTTTATGACTGATAAATGCTGGCCTGGAGGACAGGACTAGACACGCTGCCATTGTGGACATCCTTGCATGAGACAGGTTATGCCCCTTATTTTGTGGGAGTTAGATGATTACAGTCCTCCTGCTCCCCCCAACCCCTTGATTGCCCCACAGTAGATCTTGTGACCCATGAGTAACATCAGATCAGAATGCAGCCTGTCCACAACAGGCAAATCATGCAGAGAGGCTAGAAGAGACTGACCCTCCTGTGTGCAACTTCTTCAAACTCCTCTGTCAAATAGAGCTACACCTGCCAACCTCAGGGACCTAGGGACAGGCAAGAATGAAGGCCTAGATCCTGATTCTTGCTGAAGACCCTCCTTGTCGAATAAGAAGGCAGGCAAATAAATGGAGATTTGCTCCTCGTGATGCTTAATTAAAAGACATCAAGGAAATGTTACCACTAAACCTTCCAGGCACACAGATCTGACTCTCACAAGTCTGCTTTGGAGGAGAAAGGAGCTCGTGCATCCGCTTTCCCCCAACATTCAGGAGATAAGATAACTTTCCATTTGCACCTGTCACCGATGCCAGAGAGTGCCTGGTGGCCCCTGCCTTCATGGATGCACCAAGGTCTTAGTGGATATGAGACTTCTAGTCCCTGAAAAATCTCCCTCAGCATGAACATTGAACCAAGTGAGCTGGATGAGGCCTGGCAATGACTGCCAACCTTTTTTATGCATGTTTGTGTGTGTGTGTGTGTGTGTGTGTGTGTGTTATGTGTAGTGAATGTTCCATCCGTCACCCCTCAGAACCACAAGGTCTCCAAAGCCCTGCGAGTCTGTCCTGCCATAATACTCCTGTCAGATGTGCTGAACTTGTTGAGGGATCTTGGGTCCCAGGCAATTGTATTTCATTATTTGCAAGGTACTGAGAAGAATGTTGACATTTCAGCTCCCAGTGGTTTTTCTTTAAGGAACACAGAGACATAAATGATCGATTCTCCATTTGGCCACCTGCCTGGGAAAGTAAGAGACAGAGAAGAAGAAAATCCCTCTTAGCCTTGAAGAGGCTGTCTTGCTTAGATAGTGGTGTATGAGAAATTTTGGAAAGCACTTTTCCTGTGATAGACTTTCTAAAGCTGGTTAATTTTCCTATTTTAGGGAATTTTCTCTTGAATTACAGAGGTTTTTGGGGGGGTTCCTAGCATATTGTGAATGGCCCATTGCCTGTCTACCTGCTGAGATATCATCGTCATCAGCAGCAGCATCATCCTCATTATCACAATTCACTTTACAGGGAGAAAAGCACTTTCATGACTCTTTTCATCTTATGAGCTAGATATTAGCCTCCCTGTTTCGTAAGTGAGAAAGCTGAGTTCAGTGAAGTTAAAGCATCTGCCCTGAAATCTTCATTTAATGTGAAAGACTCAGAATTTAAACCTCAATTTTGAGAGGCCCAGTGTTTGACAAAACAACCTTTTGCACTTAATTGTATTGTTTTGTATTTGCATTTAATTTATCATAATTCCCCAACTTACTGTAATATCTATCCTACCATTAAGTTACTACCAAATAGCCACACATTATTGCCCTCTAAAATAGTAACCTTTCAGTGGCGTTGGATAAAATGCTAGTGATTGAAATTAATAGAGAGAAATGAGATCTCTCAGTACCTGGAGAGGCTTGTACAGATACCTGGTGCATCACTCTGCTTTCTTGATGCATGTACAAGATAACCAATAGCTGCAATTTAAAGGAGGAGAATTTTTTTTTTCTTTTTTGGTACCTGGGATCAAACTCAGGACCTTACACTTGCAAGGCAAGCACAGTGCCAATGAGCTAAATTTCCAGCCCTAGGGAGGAAAAATTTGATTTGCCTCACAGTTTCAGAAGGTTCAGTCCATGGTTGGCTGGCTCCAAAGCAGAAACATCATGGTGGAAGAGTTTGGTTGAGGAAAGCTGCTCCCCTCATGGCAGTCAGAAGCAGAGTAGGTCGGAAAGAGTGGCAGACAGGAAAGAACCAGGGACCAAATACAGACCCAAGGTCATGCCTCTGTGACCTACCCAGAAACACCCAAAAATGTGCTTTACAAATTCTCTAGGTGACTCCCAAGCCAATCAAGTTGACAGTTCCCCCTGACATTTCCTTCCTCCCACCCTCTTTTCTTCTGTCTGTGTCTTGTATAGTGGAACCCACTAGAATCCAGGGGAATGAAGACCAGGACACAGGGAGCACACTGCAGTGACTCTGGAGGTATAAAACAGGACAGAGAAGGATGTTTGCATTCCCTTTTTAAACTAGGAGACATGAAATGTAGAATGAGGTTTTTGCCCCTAAGATCATAAAGCTAATAAGTAGTGGGCCGAGAATGGAGATCAAGTTAATTACACAGAGCTTTCTGGACCAGCATCCTAAGGTTTCCTGTCTTCGTGTTTACACTTGTGCTTTACATGTTCCGTGGAGATCACAGTTATAGCATCATGTGCATGCATTGTGCTGTGAGTCTTCTCAAAGCCCTTTCCTATGTGTCATCTTAACTGATCCTCATAGCTCTCCTTGAGCCAGACAGGGCATCTGTTAATCCTTCCTGGCCTGCCTGTCCTTTTCTCTGGATACAAATTCCTCCACTGAGACACTGCCCACCTGTGACTCCCTTAGGATTGTCTATATCGATTATTTCACACAGTGCCCAGCACATGGGGTCGCTTAATAATGTTAATATTAGTACAAGTAATGATGACTATTATGTACTGAGGGCTCCCTGCACTATGAGGTAAGAAATGTGAGTATTCTTATTTTAGACTTCCTATTCCCAATGAGTTAGGAAGTTAGTGGCTCTACCTAGCTATTTTGTGCAACTTTTGGGAACATTTGCAGTGTGGCAAGCAGCACTGCAAGGTTTGTTTTAAAAACCTATTTCTCAGCAAAACTCTGCAAGAAAGAGTTGTATATAGTAGAAGGAATCTTACTTCAGAATCAGGAAGATGACTGTCTGAATTCCAGTTCTGGAACTTACTTTCTCCTTTAGGTTTGGAAAGATCCCTTGACTCCTGACCTTAAGTTTACCCACTGATTCGATGAAGGAAGTAATTCTTAATTCCCAGGACTGCAGTGTGGGCTAAATTATATGACATGTAAGAAAACTTCTAGCATATAGTAGTCACCCAAGTGAATGTTCGACTCCTCAAATTCTAGTTTCTCATGGTGATGGACCGAGTCAGTGGTTGATACTGTGCAGACCCTGGAGCAGGACCCACATGCACCTTGTGCAGCCTGCCCAAGACTGCCTCAGGGACCTCTGTTACTTCTGCAAAATGCAATGATTCAGCTTGGGTGAGAAGAGCCCTGGGCATGCTGTGGTGACAGGCCTGCCTAGACTCCATGCAGCTTAACCCAGAGTCCTGTCTTACAAGAGAAACATGCCTCATCAAACTGGGTGTTTATTTCCCCAAAGTTAACACCATGCAGATAGTCTTTCATTTTTCATGTGACGCCAGCAACAGCGGCCCCAAGCATGGATGCTCCAGGAACATGCAGGAGAATTCTTTTCATTCTTTTTAGGTACAACCCTTTTCTGCCAGGGAGTTCTTTGGTAGCTTCCTGGAACAATCAAGCAAAGATGGTTTAGTGTCTAGTTGGTACTACCATGTGTCCAGAAGTATTGCTAGTTAATGTTGCAGACAGACTGTGAGCCCAAGACTGTGAGGACTTTCTTTGAGGCGGAAACATTAAAGCTACTCTTCCTAGCCAATGGTGCAACCCTGTCCCCAGTGTGTCCTGAGATGTCCTCTCCCAGGGGGAATTAAGAAAAAAGGACTCCAGTTTCCTCTGATTCAGTCCTTCTAGTCCTTCTAGTACTTTCCTTCCTCATAGGGGGCTCCTGTAGTCCATTTGCGCTACTATCACAAAATACAAGGGCTGGGTAATTTAAGAAGAACAGGAATTTACTTCCTTACAGGTCTGGATACTGGGAAGTCCAAGGTCAAGGTGCTAGTAGGGTCATTGATGGTGAGAGTCCAGTCTCTCTGCTTCCAAGATGATGCCTTGTTGCTCAGTTCTCTGGAGGGGACAAACCCTCTGTCCTCACATGGCAGAAAAAGAAACAGCAAAAAGAAGAACAAATATCCTTTTTCTCAAGTGCTTTTCTAAGGACTCCAGAAGTAGGAGTTACCTCTGGGATGCCAGACATACGTTGATCATCCCTCTGTGATCCTTCAAGGCATCCACAGTGAGCTAAAAAGCAAGCTGCACACTGAGGAATCTAGAAGCCGCTAAGGAAAAGGGGTGTGGGGGAGCATACAGAGACAAAGCACTTCGGTTTGAGTGTGAGTCCCCGTCCCAGCACTCAGAGGGCAGTGGTTGGCACAGGGGTCTCATGTGGATGTGGCAGTCCTGAGCTGGAAGAGAAACCATAGATCAGAGTTGCAAGGGGAGAGAATCTGGCTCCTTAGGATACAGACACAAAGTATAGAATAATGATTGTGAACAGCACGGGACAGTGAAGGGCTGAGTCTTGGTCTCAGCTCTTTCACCAATTCTTTGCATCATCTCAAGGCTGTCCACCTCATTTCAGAATAGTATTTTTCTCACCTTTATTTGGGAAACTAGAATCCATTCATTTTAGAGGGTTTTTTTTTATATTAACATTCTGTAGATGTGTGAGTAAAATGTCCTTGAGAATTAATAGGTGAGTTACGAAGGGGTCAGTTTCCTACTGGTAGCAGCCAAGAAGAACTTGGACCACCAGCTGTAACGACGGGCATTCATTACTAGAAGAAACTTGTCTTTATTTGTTTTTTTCGTTGTTGTTTTTTGTTTGGGGGCGTTTTTTGGTACGGGGGATCGAACATGTGTCCTTGCGCTTGTGAGGCAGGTGGTGAAACCACTGAGCTAAATCCCCAGCTCCAGAAACTTGTCTTTATTACACCGCCACAGTACTAGACACTTTACATAAATTTCCATTGAATTTTCTCAACCATGCAAAAAAGTATTTACACTAGAGGAGTGGAACTAAAAGGATAAGCAGTTTGTCCACGATTATGCAGAACCAAGAGCATAATCAGATATTCGAACTTAAAGAGAATCCCCACACCCAAAGTGCAGACAGTTGGTTACCCTCAAGAGCCTGTCCCTTCCCTGTGTCTGTGTTCACACCTGCTGCCCTCTACCACCTGTCAGTCACCCAAGCCGAAGCCCCGTGCCTTAAGAGCAGTGCCTGGTTCAGATCCCGGGGAAATGCCTTTCCCCTCTCAGTGTGCACAGGCAGGGAAAGAGCAATGAGTTGAGTGGTTCTGTATCCCTTTCAGATGCAAGCATGTTGCGTGGAGAAACCGGAAGGGCTAAGGGAAAGGCATACACATGATTAGTGACGTTAGTTGATGATATCTGACATGCCTTTGTGACCATTGGGAATTTTCAAGTGAAAACACTAAAGTAAAAAAACGTGTCCTTCCTTTCAACAGGGTGTTGTTGCTGGCGCTCGTTCCAAAGGAGAACACAAACAGAAAATCTTTTTAACCATCTCCTTTGGAGGAATCAAAATCTTTGATGAAAAGACAGGGGTAAGTAAAAGAATCACATGGCACTGTGAAATCGAACCCATTGACAGATATGGCCTTAAAGCTCCTACTCGCTGGGCAGGAATATCAAACAAGCATAAAAACACATAAAGCAGCTGACACACTCGATCAACTGTGATCGTCCATCAAAGCAAGTCTCTTCTGACTTGGCCACAGTGTGACTGCATTGTGCTCCTCATAGTGTAATTGTGATAAAAGTGTCACATCAACCTGGTGATCTAATGGGAGATTGATGGGTTTTGAAGAGCAGTGGTGTTGTGACAATTTAAGTTACATTTCTTGGTGTGCTGGCAACTCTGATGGCATGCTTCCTACAAAGGGACACGTACAAGTCTTTGGACTTGCTCAAAGCATCCAGATTCTCTTGAGTGTAACCCATAGCAATTGCTGTAATCAGAAAGAAAATATAGAGTTCTCAATCATAAAAAAACCTCTCTGTACAAGCAGGAAATGTAAGGGTTGATATGTTTGTTGAACCCACCAAAGAAGTGGTTTGTGTTTCCATCAACCTCACTTCTGTGATTAACTCCAGTCTCACCCCCAGAGCTCACCTGACACTGTTAGGTCTTACTCGCCGGTGGTAGGGAAAAGTGGAAAAAACCATCTATGATCTTGGGCTGAGAAAGGGAGACTCCAATGGATGCATTTTTCCTTTTATTTATTCCATGTTTCACGGCTTATAAAACACCTTCTTTGAACTTTCCAAAGATAATTTATCAAGCACTTTATGTACAACTCGACCAGCCAAGTTACTTGACCTCAGTCATTTTGCATTACTAGTTTCTTTTCCTAGTTCTGACTAGTATTATGAGAGTGGTAGGATTATAATTTAAAAAGTAAAAAGGTTTTCTCTTGAAGAAATATTACTTTTAAATAACTATTATAAGAATCAACATTGCTTATAACAGCATTATTCACAAAAACCAAAGGGTGGAAGCAACCCAAGTGTCCGGTGATGCATGATTAGATACACAAAATGGAGTACATAGATAAAATGGACGGACGGCTACGGAGACTTAATTCAGGTACATGGCTACAACCTAGATGAAGCCTGAAGACAGTATGCTGATGAAATAAGCTAGGCACAAAAAGACAAACACTGTAATTCTTAAATGAGGTGCCTAGAATGGTATAGCTCGTGGAGACAGAAAGGGGAATGATGATTGCCAAAGGTTAGAGGAAAGGAAGAGCAGGAAGTTACTGTTCAGTGGGGATAGGGTTTCAGTTTGGAAAGATGAAAATATTATGGAGATGCATGGTCGTGATTGTTATGACAGGAAAGGAGTTACAGAATGCTACTGAACTGTCCCCTTAAAAACAGTTAATATGGTAAATTTTATGTTACATATATTTTACAATAATAAGTAACTAGTAATAATTAGGTTGAATACCTCCCATTTATGAGATGCATCTTTGTCATTTTACACTGTTTCATCCTCACAACAATTCTGTGAGATAAGGAACAGCTACAATATCCACCTGTTTTCTGCGCCTGTGGTGAAACAACGAAACAGACTAACATTATCTAGAAAAGAGATTTACGTTGCTTATACTTCTAGAGGTTCGAAGGCACACAGCCCCTGCATCAGCTTGGCGCTGGGGAGAACCCGGTATCTGGTAGCACTCCAACAATGTGAGCATGTGTAGGAGGGAGAGATCATGTCTCAAAAGAGAAAGCCAGGAGCCCGGGGTTCTGTGTCCCTTATGAGGGGAGTGCCCTCCCGCAATGGGCCTAAAGACCTCCCAGAAGCCCCACCCCCTCCTAACATTACCATACTAAAGACCAAGCCCCCAGAACGGGAACCCTTGAGAGATACACTTAAGCCATAACCAAGCCACTTCACCAACTATACATTCTATGCCAGGCGTGGTTGCAAACTCTTCATCAGTGTCAGGCTCTTTCATCTGCACAGTCACCCATGTGATACTCGTATCATTTTCTCTATTTTACAGTTGGAGGCATCAAAAACAGAAAAGTTTCCATAACTTGCTGAGCATAAGTGGTGGAAGAGACAGGATTATAACCCAGAGAGTCTGGCCCACAAGTCCTTTTGGTCATCCACGATGCCGGTTATCTCTTTGGATAAGTGACTTTTCTAAATCCCCATGTTACATATTTTGATGAGGAAGTCAGGCCGGTGCTGCCATAAAAGAGGACACAGGAGAAGCTGAGTTAAAAACAAGGCATATTGTACCAAGAAGTCCTAGATGTAGGAGCCACAGTGTGCCACTCAGGGACACATGGGAGACATCAGGTTGGTCAGGGCAAAAGGCGGAAGTGGAGGGAGCCTTTGGGCCATGGCCTGTACTGAAGTTTCCACAGGAAACACAAGGAGGGCAGGGTGGACAGTCCGGATTAGCTGACTGGAATGCTTTTGTCTGGCTCTGAGCCAGAGTAGTCCCGGGTGCTGGCACCTCGCTGCAGAATGATGAAAGCATAGGGACCAGTTGAACAAGTCTGCCTCTGGATTGGTTAGTTTGCCTGTCGTAGACACCAACCCAGATAGACCCTAGCTGAGAACTAGCTAGTTCTGGGAGGGGTGGTGTCTCCCTAGCCAGAAAGGTTTTTTAAAGATGTCAAAACATCTTAATATTTGGATAATTTTAAAAAATATTTACAGTACAACCCAGAAAGCAGGAGGCAGAATGGAAATTTACTCCATTCCAACTCAGGTTGGCCTGAACCAAAAATCAATGTAATTAACTCAAAAAGGTGGGCCTACCTGCAGATGCATGGTAGGCGGAAGTTTAGAAGGAAGGCACAAGCGTGGGTAGAAAATGAGCCTAAACTTAACCTCTCTTGCCTCTATCCAAGTAAGGTTTCAGAAACCAGGAAAGTATTTCCTGTTCCTGGAAAGATTACATTTTAGAGACCTGTGCTCAGTTTTTCAAAAAGATCTTGGCATATCGAGGGATATTCTGGTCAGGAGGACAGAAGTGGCGGGATAGAGGGACTGTGCTATGCCAAGTCTACTTGACACCTACAGGACATCAGCAGGTCCCATAACAAGAGAAGGTGGTGAGCTTTCAAAGCACACGACATGGAGAACACTGCTGTCCTTCAGCTCCCTTCATGGATGCCAAGGAAGGCAGGTCAAGCCTAATGGAGAGATTGTTTCATGAAAATTTATATGTCCCAATGCGAGGATGTCATCGCCAGCCCCTCCTGAGCTCTGGCTCTATCTCTTACCATGACAACTGGCATAGTTGGAGGGATGAGGCGAAGCAGGACCTCTAGTGTTGGGCATTTTATCTTGTTTGGGGCTATGGTTCAGGCTGTGTGTGCCCCACCACCATATAGGTCATGCCCAGATAATTAAAGTCCTAATCACCTCTGTTTTAACTAATGAAGAGAGTTAGTTTGCATTCTTTACCTTTATCTACCTCCTCTCTCAAAGATGACTAAACTGGCTCCTAAAAGATACTACCGAAGTGTGGAGCAGAGTTTTTGATTCTTTATATGGACACAAGGAATACACTAGTAAAAATCATTATTTTTGCCTTGGAACTATTTGGGTTGATGGAGAAAATGTCAGATCCCAAGTGGAAAATCAGGAAACAGGCAGTTAAATGTTTTCTGTCTGGCTTAGTCTACTCTGGATCTGTTTGATTAACATTAGGCCCCTGTCGCATCGAGCTTCCATGACCTTAGCTCGTTAATATGCCTTAACACAAGTCCTTGGAAAAAGGGTTAGATGGATTGAATTTGTTTAAATCTGAAGTAGAGATGATGAAACTCGTAAGAGTTGTGTAATAGAAGGAGCTGACTCGCTCTGTGTAACCTCCAGGAATGGAACCCAGACTTGTTGATAGAAGTTTCTATTAGGCAGTTCCAGTTTATTGGCGATCTGTTAGGCAGAGCTGCTTAGCAATGAGATGAGCTGACATCTGTGAGAGTTTACCATCCACCACCGGGGATAATCCAACCACGACCGGATGATGGGATATTGTTGAGGGGAGTCAGGTAGTGGGTGAGGTGTTAAGCAGAGCCACACTATCTAAGTTGATTGCTGGGATGAGAATTTTAAGATTCTGTGTCTAGCTGAAAGTACTGCGTATTGATGTTTTTTATTTGAAAACCCTGGGTGAGAGATTATGAGCAGGAACAGTTTACTGAACCTCTGTCCTTGCCCCAGCAGGGGACTGACGGAATTGTGCAGGAAGGGAATCTAAGTGCAGTCTTTTGCTCTCCGTATCAAAGAAATGGAAAACTGGCTCTTTGTCATTTGGAATGACAAATCTTAGTTGTTTATCTTGTCTAAGGTATTTTTGCTCAAGCTTGACTGCACTTTAAAAAAAAAAAAAAAAGCTGAGGAAAGAAACATTTGCAGAACGTGACAATAGCTAGAATTTTAAAATCCAAAAGCTGTCAAAAATGTTTTGATCCCAATTAAAGAGACCCTTTGCAGCAATTTACACCCTGTCTTGAATTTCAAAGAACTCCTGATCCCAATCTTTATAGAAGAAAATTTTGTTTTATTATTAGCATGTTGCAAGGAATAAACCAATACTGAAAGCTGTTCATATTTTCAGATCCTTGGATATTGCCAATCTATCCAGCAAATCCATAGGAACACAGAAAATGTCACACCTTGGTAACCATTGTGTGATTCGTAAGAAGAGAAAGAGTAGCAAAGGTTTCTATATTAATGTGTTCTTAGATCTTCAGACCAGACCAGCAGACAGCAAAACAAGACTGTTGTCATTTTAAATTCATAGTTGAGGAAACCAGGGTTCTGGATGTGTCCCAGACTTGTTCATACCTTGCAACCCCAAGACCCCTATCTGTACAGTGAACCCCACTGATTTGCATCTGTCATCATCTACAGTGTTAGTCCTTAGAAAGAAATCACAAATATGGCAAGACTCTGAAGCTAACACTGTTCCCTGGCCTGGAAGGTGGTAGTGGTCTTCATCAGCTTCTCAAGAAGGTCCAACGTCCTTGTTTTCAGAATCACATGTGAATTTTGCCTGTTTATTTG